AAAAAAAAAAAAAACGAAAATTCCTAGTAAAAAGTTGAAGAGGAATCAATCAACAATTTTTGGACTATCTAGAAGCCAAATAATGTTGAGAAAAACAAAAGCCAAATGACAAAAAGATTAGTAGTAACAGCAAAAACTGTAATATGCAGTAAGCGGCTCAAAAGATTATTCATTCAACGGCAAAATTTTATTAATTTAACGCATATAAAACAGCAAAACGTCCCAGAATATCAACAGCGATTCCACATGTCCAACAGAAATACCACCCACAAACTAAAAAAAATTAGCACTGTCACTCGTTGTAACATGAAAAATTAGCAAATTTTCTTCGCTCTTATTCTGACAGTGGTAAAAAGCAGAATCTTGATAATTGTTCAACAACCCTAGACGAAACGATGCATTCACAACAGAGAAACAAAAAAAGAAAAAAAAAACAGTAGCATAACTTCCCACCATCTGCTCTTCCCCAGTTGAATCACCATAATATCCAAGAAATGGCCTTAGCCGCTTGAAAAAAATACAAAAAAAAAAATATGAGAATTTGTGAAAATAAAAAATTTTCATGAACAACACACAATTTTGACTTAACGCTGCTTCGCTGTAAAAACTATAAGGAAATTTTGATATAACAGCTTTGTTTTCCCATAAAATGATGCTAAAACAATCTGATCTTGCAGTTAAGTGTCCATCAATTGCTACGGACGACTGCGCAGGTTTAATAGAAATAGTCTTCAACAGCTGGAAAATACAGGACCCTCCAATGTATATTTCCTCAACAATGGAATTTACTGTTCATCCCGATTGGTAGTCCCACTCAGTAAGCAACGTCCGAAGTAAGTATAAGTGGCTACATACTATACATATAGCTTGTTTTTCAAAAAACGAAGTGGTGAAGGACGAATGGCAAAAAAAACTGAAAACTCAACTTTTGTGCTCTAAAAAGACACTGAAATTTTGCACGCTGTGAAAGGTGAGAGCGTGGAAATACCTACAATAAACCAGAACAGGAAATTTGTATATTCATAACATAACATTAATGCGCATAATGCGCTCAATGACCAAAACAGAAATTTGAAAAAATTGCAGAATTTTACTGCGTGCCGAAAAATAACAAAAGAAATTAGGTCCTCTCATGAAATTTTTTTACAACAGTAGCATCAAAAATTGAGTTTCGTTTTACTGTTGCCGCTGCTCCCGACTATCGAGTCTCCCCAACCCCAAATATTAAAACATTTCGTCAACAGCCACGCACTTTGTGTAAGCTGTTTTATGCAAACAAGTGTCCTTTCACCAGATTTTCACCATAGCGCCGCTATCCAAGCCGCTACAACCCTCTTCGACGCCCTCAGACTAATGAATGGACCACCTGCGCTGACAGTCAGAACTGTAATCACCACAGAAGCTATCCTAAAGTTCCCAACCCTAGTTGACAAGTTATCGACTTCTAATCGTCGATCTAGCTCAACTGATTCCAATTGACCTACATAACTCATCGAATCTCCATGAATGCGTATGCAATTTAGCACCGATTCCTCTGCAGATTCTCTATCGCCATGACGTCTCCCCGTCACTCCAAACCCGAGTAGGCAGTGTTCATCATAATTATCATAACAAACAGGAACTAGTCGAAATCCACCAGCATAATACAAATGTCCTTTTATAGAATTATTATTATTTTTTTTTGCAACTTCAGGTTTCATAAAACTATTTAATTCTAACAATTCATAAGTCTATGAGTAACCAAAACAACACGACGATTTTATTTTAGACACTAAATTTACAAAATACTGCTGTTCTAAAAGTCGCAAGCTTCGATTTATTGATAGCACATAAAACATTACGCAAAGAATCAATCATGTGGTTAGGAAAATGCGCTATGGCCCCGCATAGACTCGGCTAGTAATTCGAAACTTAATCTTAAAAGCAACTATTGAAGATGAATACCCATCTCGTAAGATATTGGGTTCTTTCATACGTTTTCATAGCCAAGCTTTTTGTCAAAGCCATAATCCTTATACCTGTAAAAGCTTTAGTTCTAATCCCAGAAAAGCTTTTAAACAGAAAATTTAAATAAAACACTGAAGCCTCAGCATTCAGAACTTTTAATGCCAAAAAAATACGTCAGATAAAGAACACCAAAGTGAGACGAAAGAAAAAGAAGCATAAAACTAACCAACTCTTCTCCCACCACCATTCGGCTTGAGGGATGAAATACTCCGGCTCATCGAAACCAAGTTCTTCAGGAGTAGAAATACCTAACTCTTTTAAGAACGGTTCAAGCTAAAAGCAATACTCAGAAAGTAACGGTCAATAACAGTAAAAAAGACGCCACACCAGTTTTGCTCTCCTATTTAGTTGCAGACACAGTCGCTTTAACTAAAGATGCTTCTGCAAGCTGCTTTTCCTAGGGCTGTTCTTCCTTCTTCTGAATTACACATGCGGACAAAAGAGAAAGAAGATACTTAAGGAAAAAAGCGTCTTAAAAAACGTCAATTCTAAGAGCTTTATGACACCAGAAACCAAAGGTAAACGATATAGCAAAAAAGTCAGTGAAGCATGCCTTGCAAAACTAAACTAATTATAAGACTTGCTCAGAATCTAAAAAAGTTACTGTCAAAAAATCACCTAAATTTCTCAACAGTGACCTTCCTCACCATCTAACACCAGTTCTCAGTTTATTCCTGAACCTGTTAAAAGCTCAAAAAACTAATCTAAAATAAGCTATCTCTGCTGCTCTGAGTAGCGGGACTTAAATAGAATACTTATGAAGAATTCTAGTCTCAGCATTCAGGGCGGAGTTAGTCGTTATCTATGTTAGTCGTTCCCACAGTTAGAAATTTTAAACTTTTTAACTTTAATGTCTAACTGACCTCTTTCACGATGTACCCATAAACGAGTTCACGATTTTTCTTCCACCCGCATTTTATCTTTACGCCTTCGAGAAGACGAACGCATAAAGCAAAGTCATTCACCCGTCTACACGCCTGTAATGCAGCTTTGACTACTTCAGGTTCTGGCACCAAATCATAGTGATTCAGCTCTGTGAGACCTGAAATTGAAAAAGAAAGCCAAGGTGAGAAGCAAAAATTGTGATATGACAACATTACTACCCACTTCCGGCAGTAGCAAAACATAACAAAGGAATAATGTTTAAATGCATAAGAAATAAATCTAAAGAGACGCATTAAAAAAGAACGCGTATCAGTTAAAGATAAAGACTGATCAGAGGCGTTGTAAAGGATGTAAAGTAATTAATCGCAGGATAAGAATCTTTTTCCACCTGCCAGAAAACCTGCTTTGAAAAAACGTTAGTCGTCCCCACAGTTAGAAATTTTAAATGCACGCAGCCCAATTCAACCATAAACCTTTGAAGTACCATCAATGGGCAAACTATTAGCGAAACCAGTAGAAAAAAAAGTTACCACTTCTACGTAATCTTCTTTAAATTTTAAAACAGCGAATAACAAAAACTACCGTCATGACGTCTGCCAAGTCAAACTTTTTTAGGTGAAATATCTGCAGAAAACTAGTATATGAAAGAAAATTTGAAAGAAAACATTACTTCAAATGATTTAGCTGTTTCAAGTACTACACGGCACAAACATAGGAAGAAGACTGACTAACCTTGTCTAATTTCCCAACCATCAATCTCCGGACGATTGAAAAAATCAATAAAATACTTATCGAATTCTGAAAAGCATTCCCAGTCGGTAAAAGAACAACGGTAAACTCGAACAAACTAAACTCCAAAGTGTCAATGAATAGGCCCTTAACAAAAAACGTGAGATATTTCAAAAAAGCTTTCATTTACACAATATTTGTCGGTTTAGATAAAGCCTTTTAACAACTACTTGAGAAGATGCTAACTTGATAATTTAGAAGCAGTATGGAGGTTCCTATAGCAAGCAGAGAAGGAAGCCTCTAACATAAAATTATTAAGTTACTTTCTTAAATGCAGTTTTGAGTAAAAAGCAAAACGAAACTAGATAATAAGGTTGAAAATATTTCTCTCTGTGAAAAAAAAGGGAAAAGCCATTTTTCCTTCAACTTTACAAAGAGACAAGATGAAGAGTTACTGTGGCATGAAGAATAGGGTGAGAACGATTTAATAGCAAAAATTGAAAAAACTAACTCTCTGGTGGCCAATTCTCTTTGCCCCTCTGTAAAATGCCGTTTCCGCAGACAGGCGATGTTGTCGCTATTCTACGAAAGCAAACTGAACTTCTAGGCAACACTGGAGCTATACGGAGTGCGAATGATGAAAGCATCTAAACAATTAAATCTCAAAAGTATTCTATTTGTTGCTCATCCTATATATTCCGGAAGTGCAAGGTGATACTTCCAAACCGACAAAGGGATCAAAAGGCAAAAAATATTGCAGACTGTTGACAAGCGTAGAATCCCATTAACTGACTTTGTCATACAAAATTTTGCTGCTTTATCATAAGAAAATTAAAAAAACTATTTAGATAAAAGGGATCTATGACAGTTCCACAAAATGCCAGTTCAATCCGTCCAGTCTTTCGGTCAAAAATTAAAAATCCAAAATTAAACTTTTGATATCAGTTCCTTATATTACGATACACAGATTCTCCACTTCAGTTATCTTGACGCAGCATTTTTTATTTCATTTGATGAGCTAAAGTAAATTTTCAAAAAAACCATCTTTAACAATTTTCGACTATTTAAAAATGCCATTTTAAAAATGCAATGACGTAGAAAATTGCCAGGAAATACTTGTTTTTTTTTTTTTTACCACCATACCAAAAGAAATTAGTCGACTGTTTATCTAACGAAAAAAAAAGAACTGATAAAAAGGACGTGGGGACATTATCTAAACCAAATGAAAAGTTGTAAGAGAGGAGAGACAATACAGAAAGTCATTTTGAAAAAAACTCCTTTCATTGCACTCAGTAAAGAACTCGAGGAGCAGTAAGAGCAAAATGCAAAAACAACGCCGTCCGTCTCTAACGTTACCACCAACACGTGACGGCCTACTTTTAGCAGCAAGAAATACTATTTTAAAATCGAACAATGCTTCATTCGACTAAAAGGGTACGAATAAAAAACATCGTCAGCCAGTGAAGATCCTACAGGTGATAAAGGGTCCCCCGTGAAAGACAGCAAAAAAATACTGTCCTCGCTTTCCCAAACTCCACCCCACTTCTTTAATGGTCGGACACTGTTTTCACCTGGCTTCAGGAGCCACTGGAACGGCGCCAACCACGATTGGAGGGAAATCAAAAATACTGAATGACCAGCAAGCAGCCCAAATAAGCAGCTTCCATTATGTTGATGCAACCGTCCAGGTCAATGCCAAGTTTTGGCTGCTCTTTTTTGTTCAGGGATCCTCAAAACGGAGAGGAAAATCACTGTAGTCTTTTATAAAAGTAAAGTAAAATGGCCGACGTAAGTAGGGGAGAAAGAATACAAAAAGAACAGTAATTTCTTAGGCCATAAAAAAAATAGAAATTTTTGCCACATGGAAAGTCCTCGGAGGTTTCTGAAATTGAAAATCTATTTTCTTCTTTCCTTTCATCTCCTAAATTCCTGCTTCAAGCACTTTTATTGTTTTAATGAGCTGGAAATTATTCCCCCTGCTACAACTCACTGTCTAGCTCCAGTCACAGTGGTGATATATATAACTCATAAAAGCTAATGCACAGATACGTAACATTTTTGGGGGTGGTTGAATAGGCTGTCGATGCTACGCGAACAACAGTTAAGTGGGAAACCTCTGGTAAAGTAGATTAGTTTCAAAGTATGTTGACACCTCTTAACGCCCTTTTTTGCCCAAATTTCTCGCCGCTTTTTGCATGTTGCATTTGTGGTTCATACTGTTCGTCTGGTAGAACTTTTAAAACCATCTCTTGTACATAACTAAAGGTTTGAAGTCACCTAAATAAATCTCACCGTTCATAACACCAAAACCACCAGTGTCTTTCTGTGCACATAAACGAATCGCAAAACCACGCCAGAATCAGGGACTTTAAATACCGGAAGAATAATAGCAAAGAATAACACAAATTTTCCATAAGTAGGATGCATCAAACATACGAAAGAAAGGGGAAAAACGTCCTCAAATATATAATTCCTTGGGGCCTATGAGACATTCCGCGTAAGTGGTTATGGAAAATCTTCTCCTAATTCCTGCCATTGACTTCAAATCAGAGAATAGAGATTTAAACGCTAAATGGTTTAACAACCTTTCCTCAATCTGGAAGATAAACCAACACGCACAACCCTTCCGGACAACAGTTTCTAGAAACAAGTGAGAGTAAACCTCCTATGCCACAAAAAGATCTGCTGCAGGGAAATATGTAAAGCGTATAACCCCCGCAGAGGATATAAGTGACTTTAACTCTGTATTCTTGATGAGTCTGTAACCGAAACAAGTAGAAGTCCCCTCTACACGCTACTGGTCTGCCCAGCAGGTAAAAATTGAATTGATACCTGCCCTTCAAACCAAAACAATGGCTATGCTGACAGTTTGGAAATTTTCTACACTGACAGAAGCAAAATTCCTTGTAACTGTAAAACAATAATTCTTATGATTTGCGAATATTTTATTTGAATCGTTTACAATTTCTTCAAACAAATATTCAACAACTGAAACGTAATGGATGTCCACAATGGATCGTTTTGGGTTTCAGAAGCAGATTCTGAAGATGACAGAGATTTGGCCACTGTAAAATGTATACAACTACTGTAACGACACTGGATTTTTATTTATAATTTAATATTTATATGTATGCTTATAAGTAATCAGATCAACAAATAAATACCTATATGTACTTATATACACAGGTCGTCCATTGCCAGTTTGTAAAATTTTTTTGCCTGATATCCTAAATTTCTTCAAATTTTGCCAATTAGTAAAGTTTTGGTTCGGATTTAAAAACCCAGTTGAGAACACTGGAAAGGTGGATTTTTTGCCTAATTATACTTTGCAAAATTTGGCAGCTTAATGTTCAACATGCCTGTTTTGCCGAACCTGTAGTTCAGCGCAGTCTTAATAAACTTTAATACCTTTCGGTTCTTCTTTAAATTTCAAACATTTTCTCCATTTTATAATACTCATTAGGTCTTTTACTAACGTTAAATAGTTTGGTAGAAATAGTAAAAGAAAAAATTCAAGTGAAAAA